GAAGTAAAATCTTAACACATAAAAATTTTAACACTGGCCCAGTTTTGAATATAAACATAACATGAATATAAATACCGCAGATGAACGTTGAAACTCGAGCACAGGGTTCCATTAGAGAGGGAAGGCTGGATAACGCTGGTAAGTGGCAAATGGACGTCCACTTTTGGTGTTCTGACCAATTTCAACAGTTAACTGAATATAGCATTATAATTAGGAAATTGTTAACGCTGGCTGTCCGTCATAATGACAGTTCTCCCAAAGCACTGCTCTGTTTTCAGAAGTTCAGTTATGCGACGAGAAAGCATAAGCAAGTAAAGGGAGAGCTCATGTGAACCTTGTGCATCTCGCTCCTGTGCCATGCTCTCCTCTTTTCCTCCTCCTGTCTCGAGCGCGGTGGCAGGAGCAATGAAATAGCAAAACCGGATTGGAAGCAGAGACCTGAGTGCTGCTATTTCTGGTGCTGAAGTAGGTCAGGCGGAAAGAAACGGAGAGCATTGCATGCTGCTCATGATATCTGTTGCCTGTTCAGCCCTTGCCCATTTGCACCTGAGGAAGTGTTTCTCATGTATGAAATTCATCATCGGTGGTCAGAGGTGGGAGATAGGCCAAAGATGCTGTGGGCACAGCTCATCCAATCTGGGGAAAGATTTTTGTTAATGTGAACATTTTCGATCTTAACAGGAACGTAGAAGGACAAGCACCTTAGATCAGATCCTGTTTTAACTTGTACCTGTAGTATGATGTAAGTCACGCAAATAAAAAGCCGATTGTGTCGCTGTGGTGTTGTTAACTAAGTGTGAGGTTTAAAACTGTTGAATGTAAAACCACACGACAGGATTTGTTTACAAGGAAATGGCTTTTGGTTTGAGTGTCTTGATTATTTTAATCCTTTTGTTGTGCAGAATATTGTGCAGGCACTTTGTTGCCATGGAAACACTGATGTGCTGTACTCCAGTCAGTGAGTCCATGAATTAAGCACAGCACCAAAAAAAGGCTTTTTCCCCAAAGAACAAAATGCTTCAACACATTAAGCTCACTAATAAATGAGAACCAGGATGTTTACTGGATAACCTTAATCAAAGATGGAAGTTATAAATACATGCAGTATCTTAAAGACTACAAGGGCTACGTGTGTGTTTTTGTAATGCATAATCCGTATCTGGCAAAATGTCACACTGACATAAGCTGCTGGCATGATATCTTGGTCTGTTAACTGGCGAAAGAATATGTGTCACTTGGCGAATCCAAATCTTTGATGCCGCCGATTTTCAGAGACGAGCTAGAAACGCAGAAAGACAAAGGAACAGCACGATGAAATAAATGAAAAGACGGCATGAAAGACACACAACTGCAGGGATGGGGAAAGCTTGAAGATGTGTTACCCTTGAGAAAGCAAGCTCGCTTCTGTTGCCATGGCAATGGAGCCTATTAGGTAACTGTGTTGCCATGGCACGTGTCTCCTCGGTGATGCAGACCTGACCACACCCACCAACACCTCACCAGCTGTGAAGAGCAGGGAGGCTTTATTACTGGCTGAGTGTCAGTGTTGGGAACAGAGAGACTGCGTGTGTGTGTGTGTGTGTGTGTGCTTTCTGTTGGTTTCTTCTTTCTCTTTTGCACCTAGACTTTTTGTTTTTCTCCAGGCTGCTAATTTTATCCTACGTGGTACAGCGCTGCAGAATCCCCCCCACCCCTCTCTCTCTCCTGTCAGCTCCACTGACCCATAACCCCTCTCCTTTTCAGGGGGGTGCCTCGTCTCCTGGGGCTGGAACGAACACGGAATGTGTGGAAACGGTTCACAGACCGACGTCCGTCAGCCACAGCTCGTTTCTGGTCTCAGACCTCTTCTGATTGGCTGCGGAGCAGGACACTCTATGGCAGTGTGCGCTACGATGCCTGACTCAAGACAAAACTCTGCACTGGCTCCACTTCGGTAACATCGGAGCAGGGATGTTTATTCAGCATCAGGCAATCAGAGACTAGAAAAACTGAATTAATGATTTGGTGTCTTATTGGTGCTCACATACGATTATTTTAAGTGCCTTTTGAATATACAATAACTTTCACCTTCTAATAAGGTCCCTAAGCTTCTTGAAAAGGTCAGACTTCAACCGCAGTCGTCATAAATACTGTTGTGTGGTTGTACAGAGGCTGAGTTATGTCACATGTGGACAGAGGCCATCATTTCTCCGACCAGCCCATCACTTTGATGGACACCATAGGGGATGGTTTTGCAGGACATGGCCGTGCCTATGGCTCCCGGTCCACCTGCCGTGTTTGTCTTCTTGAATGAAGCTGTTATGGATCGTGTGAGGGATGGGCGAGACTGGTGCTATAGCTCCATCTTCCCATGTCAGCAGTTTTATTGCTGTGATCTTGAGTGTCAGGAGGCAGTCGATCTCTGCACATCATACTGAGAATCTCTGTGATTTACCTCTTATACATACAGTACAGTATTTTTTTCTTTGGCAACTGTCCATCACTTATTTATAATCTTGTCATTCTGTCATATTCTTTGATGCTCTGTGTGTCTCATTTGCAGCTTCCATACAGTATACTGCTTTAATCCCTCTTGGGGAAAATTTGTCCGCTGCATTTGACCCAACTTACATATTTATAAGCTGTAGACGCCCGCAGTGCAGCAGCAGGGACCAGCTGCAGATCTGAAGCCAGTACTGTGGTCAAGGGCAATGGCAGGGCTAAGAATGGCTCACAGATCGTATCTTTGCAATTTATTTACTTTTTGTTTTTTGGAAAGTTTTCATTTTATGCTGACGGTTTATGCAAACTAAATATATTAAAAAAACATCTGTATCCCTGAAACTATGCATTAATGAAAGTTAAATTACTGTGCTTTTACCTGGATTAGTTTGAAAAAATAAATCAACACTCATTGAAAAATGATAATTTCTGTGTTTTTTTTATTTATCACTATTTATTGTACAAGCCTGAACTGTATTGGTCAAAAAGACACAAAAAAATCCCTAAACAACAAACCAATCAAAACGATCACTGAACACCTTATTGAGATAACTAACCACAAAATACAGTGTTCAAAACACACACTCTGAAGTCTCACTTTAAGTCGCACACATTAGGTGCCTCTTGGTTGTGTTTTTGATTCTGTTTAATGATAACAGCTGTTTGTTTTTCTAAAATTCTGTATCGGACAAAGACCAGCACACGTTCCCCCCTTCCCCATCAGCTCTAATGGCAGATTCAGACCTGCTGTACCTGACTGCACACAGATCTCAGTAGGTTGTTGGCAGTGCGTTTGCAGTTGTTTGGTAAAAAGTTGGTCCCTTTTCACTAACTTTTCCGCGCAAACAATTAAGCTGTACTTTGTGCTCAAAGGCTCTCCATTACGTTTTTAATTAGGTTCGTTCAATGCTTGCCTTTAGAAGCTGATCCCTACAGGGGTCCTTGTTGTATCTGTGTGCCTTCTGAGTATTGAACTGATGTTTGTTTTCAATGGCTGGTGACTGATGGTTAATCTAAAATAAAAAAATTGCATAACAGAGGCACTTGTCCGGTATGATGTGAATAATGTTTTGGCATTTGTTAGTATTACATACTAATATACCAATTTGTGCAGAAAAAAGAATAATAATCCAATTCTACATGATTGTCAATTAAAATATACTACAGAATAATTATCAGTGTGTGAGCTGTAATATGAGTTAATGTGTTTCATATATATTCTTTGTTAATCAGTGTAGCTACATATGAAGATATATTAACATTCAATTAATATTCAGTATCTATTATTCCTTTCTGAATAAAACTTTAGAAGATTTTCTTCCCCAACTAAATTATTCACCTAACGACACACTTCAGCACACTTTACCATTTTAATGCCTCATTAATACGAGGTAAGAGTGGTGTTTCTGTAAGTATGACCTTTTTTTTTGTGGATGTTATCTCTTTGATGCCTGAAAACATATCAAAAGAATGTTAAAAGTTCACTGGTGCAAAACAGTGCAAAAGTCTACAAAGATGTGACCATGACAGTGCAAAGTTAATGATTTGTTTTCAACTGTTTAGTCTGGCTGACATGAGACAAGTGACAGGTTTTTGCGGGGCTGGGGTGACTGAAGTCGGAGCAACATTTTTTTTTCTTTCAACAGAAGAAGCACACGAATATTTGATGATCACTCAAAAACATTGGTACACACAACTTCAGCACACATAAAAGCGTATTTACAGCACTGGCACACACCAAAAATAGGCACACAAATTACAACACAGTAACCAGTCACAGATACTGAGCTACATAAGGCTTGACAACAAAACTTCCTCAGTGCTACATCTATGCTGAGTTTGTGATGCACAGGTTGTCACTGTCACACCCATTTAAAAATACTAAGTAATACACACAACAATGCTACAGGACTATCAGGTGGGTGATGGGCCTTTATGGGTCATACACATAGTGGTTGGTACACCATGGTTCATAACACAAACTGACTCTGTTGGTTGTCTGCTCCGGTGCTGTCGCTGGGTCTCTATAAACATATAAAAAAACAATAACAAAAATAAATTATTACACAAATTATGTATAATGGTGGAAATGATGGCGATGATGGATACCTCTGGAGGTGCAGGGAGAGGTGAGAAATGACATTTGGAGAGTAAAGAAAATGTGCTCCGTTAGTTCCTCATGGTAAACCACAGGTTTAACCATGTATTTCCCATGCTTAGCCAAGGCATCAGACAACGATGTACTGTCTGTGTGCAGAGGTTGGACTCTTGAGTCGGTTAATAAACATGCCCCAATCATGCTGCGTTTTACAGGTTGATGTTACAGTAGTATCGGTCATTGTCATGCGTGTGTCTACTTTGAGTCATGCTCTCACAGTCACCTCGTTTTTTATGCTCTTTTTGACCCGGACACATGTAGACAGAGAGTCAAACAGCAGTTGAAAGCACTAGCTGTAAGCTAGTGGGAAAGGAAGGATGTATGTATGCATGTGCTGTTGAATAAAAACGGAGTCTAAACGCTCGTTGTGTATAAAATTTATTTCATGCAAGGACTTATATTTACATATTTTATTTGAATACTTTTCTGTTGCATAAATGTAAAATACATGCATTTACCTTTCCCCAAGTAGACCCACATCCCATACTGTCTCGTATTGTACTTTTTTCCCCCCTTGAATTGCACGAGCATATAATTCACCTGCATCTCTTTACATCAAATCTTCACAAGTATTTTTTTTTTTGTTGTTGAAATATATAACGTCCATTAATTACCACAAGAGACATGACTCGAAATGTAAAACTCTGCTCATTCAGAATAAAAACAAAACTTAGATGAGTTGCTATACTTCTATCTTCTTCTAGAAATTAACATTTCTGATTGGTCAACATAAAATTTGTTAAAGTGCCCTGAAAGAATTGTGCATAATTATTGGGACAGGATCAATACATGTAACAGTAACAGTATTGACGTTTTAAATCAATAGACGTACATACTGCAGGAGCCATCGTGACATCTCTGGTTGATCATAATTCATTATATTTTGGCTCTGTAGAGTTGCCTGGTCCCCTTTAATAATATTTTGTGCTTTATCATACAAAACGTTGAGATGGGGATAATAAAGTCAGTATTTTTTTTCCTGCTTGGTGCTATGCATCCCTCTAAAGGTTCAAACCTAGTATATGTTTGATGGCGTAACAATAATAACCAAGAGGGCGTTTTTACTGTGATTAAGGGTACGAGGGTGGTGCAAAAGGTACAAGGTGCACCGTATAAAATAAAGCTTTCGTTACACTGTTATGAGCATGGTATAAAGTGTATTGATGCTACACTGAGAGCACTTATGTAATATCAGGTCAATTTATTACTCACTTTTACTTTGCCTCACCAGGTATGAAGGCACCATTGTTTTATAATTCATGAGTCCTGCCTTAATTTAGGCATCACAGCAGTAATAGAAGTTGCTGCAGACTACCGATGCTATTTAAAAACGTATAACTACCAGTAAATATATTTGTATAAAAACTATTTATGCTCATAACAGCATTAGTTGGCTTTATGACATATTGTTCAAGTTAAATCACACTATTTTAGTTGGAGGCCCCAGTCAAATAAATACAAGAAAATAAATATATGAATTTGGGGAAAGGCAAAGAATGGCGGCTACATAAAAATCTCTGCTATGACTGAGTCTCTTGTAAAGCTGTCTCAAAATGCATAAAAAATGACAAAGCTTTAGAAGCTTTTTGAAAGAAAAACTTTTTTTTTTCTTACAGGTACTGCGATACAGTTAGCTTCTTGTTGAACATAATTTCTCATGCAGTTCATGCAAATGAACAAACAATTTTAGTTCTGTTGACATTAGATGTATTCATCACTAGTATCATAGGAATTGTCATCATCTCCATATTGCATCGGACATCATGAACATCGTGTTCAAGTTAGTTTTTTTTTTCTGATGGCCACTCAGATAACATTAAGTCTCGTCTGGATTGCACTTTCAGAGTGAAAACGTCTCTACTTTGCAACGTACAAAGCACTTAAGAGGAGTTCCCTTAACAGCTGGCAATGATAACTTTTGGATATGTGTAAAAGCCATGTATTGTTAATGTCCAGCATATTATTAGCAGGGGTTACATCTTATGAAAATGTCTTTCACAAAATTGTAAAAAGCAGATGAGATAAAAGTTATTGGCAGAAAATTATGCGAGATCAAAAGCAACAGAGCAACAGGCAATGATGTAAACACAGGAAAAGAGTGGGGTTAGCCTGTGGTAGAAGTAGAACAGTGCTTTGTCTGCAACTGAGGTGACCCATGCAGAGTGGCATGTGCCGATGTTTTCTAGTCTAGGATATGATGACACACCCAAGGAGAACACTTGGGAAGCTTGACTATAAGCACAGTTAAGATACAGTTTTCCAGAAAAATAAGGAAATAAAAATGAAAAAAAAGCAGGAGCGAAGGCAAGTGTAAAAAAAAAGCAAAATCTGACAGGAAAGATAAGAAGGAGGAGTGTGGACTGGCCTTCCAATGGCATTGTGTCTGCTACTCAACCATGCTACATAATGGATGGGATGGGAGAATGTGAGTGCTGCATTAGACAGGGTGGGCTGCAGGGCAGGGCGGACACTGAGGACACTCCAGAGGCATCCCCGCTCATGCCAGACATGCTGTTAAGGCTCCAAGGCTTTTCATAACCTTCAGTTGAAAAACAGAGAACGTTCTGAGTACACTGCAGCACTGAATCCACGACAGAATGTTTTGGTGTTCCTCACTGGTAATACTACACCTGTTGCTTTCTTGTTTTTGTCTCCAAAGAAACAGGTCAACACAGACTTGAGACAGGTTATTATTCTCCATGCATTGAGTGCATCAGGAGTACAACAGCATGCACCGGGTGGTACTGGAATGGTTTGGAGTATAACACTATAAAAGACTCGAAAAGGTAGGCACCTCAGGCAGGGAATGTATTCTCAGCTACAGGTAGGAATTCATACTATTCGCTGTTTGCTGTCGATGTGCTGTCTGCACACACAGCTGGAGACTAACGTGTCTTCTTAGAGGAATGTTTTGTAGATTAATAAAGAAATTAAATAAACAAAAAGGGTTCAACCCTGTATTAAAGTGTAAAAATCAGTGAATTTGAATTTGGCTCTTAATAAATATTTGTCTTTAGCCTTCCTCCATTTGTGTTGTGCTCCTTCACCATACTGATAGCACCCATCAGCGAGACACTTCATGCACCATTATGGTCAAGAGGAATGTACTCATAAGTCAGGATCCTGCATGGTATTTATCATTAAGACACATATACATACATGGTACACGCATAGCACATAAATACTTTCTTAGGCATGTAAGACAACACATTCTAGATCATATAAATCTCGAAAATAGCTTTCTTACTTGTAAATAAATAGGGGTTTTACATTATGCATGGTATCAAAAAATATATTATGTAGATGTGGACAATTATTGATATTTGTGGTGATTGTGCTTGGCCTGAACAGATGTTGTTGTGATCTGGAATATATACAATTCCCAAAGGGATGACTGAGGAGAAGCAGCGGCTGTGAAAGTGTGTGAAGATTGTAATAAGAGGTTTGTTGTTGTTTTTTTTTGTGTGTGTGTGTGTGTGTGTGTGTGTGTGTGTGTGTGTGTGTGTGCATGTGAAAAACTGAGGTGTAACACTCAGCAAAGAGGGAAAAAAGAGCGTGTCCTGTCTATGGTCTACGGGGTGTCAGTGTCTCACAGGGGCCTGTGATTGGCTGTTACTGTACGTACCCCTCCTCACTCTGCCCCCTGTGTGGTTGGGGCGTTCAGCAGTGGTAACCAGGAAGCAGGGCCGCTCTCTCTCGCTGGGGCTGAAGATTTCCTCCGGAGATATGGCCTGGTCTATATGAGGGCAATCTTCGTTGGCCAGAGCCGCATTAGCTGCCTCACCGTTCAGCTTGGAATCTTATAAGAAAACAATAAAGAAAACAAAAGAAAACGGAAAAGAATCTGGTTTCATATACCAGCTTTTTTACTGTCATATTTTTTTAATATATCTTCAGTTTTGCACACAGGAATTAACTTGTACAGTAATACTGTTTGCCTTGCACTCTGTTGTGTTATTTGTTTTGAGCTCAAACTGTATCAAAGGTCAATAAATCTTTGCACCAATGCTACCAGAGGATTTCAAGACTACTCTACTCACATGTTCTTAACATAACAAATGCATGATGATTACAGACTCCCAGTTAGTCTTAAGAGAGAGGAGGAGTGAATCACTGCATTAAGAAGTGCAAAATCAATAGCAGGATTACTCACACTCTCTCTATTCTCCTAGCCAGAGTAAAATATGCTTTTCATCAAATATTTTATTGATTGTTTTTGGTGGGAAACTCATTTGTTTAATGTCATGCCTGAATCCTCAGCTGATTGAAGTGTGGGAACAGGCAAACAATGAAACAGCTGACTCGTGAAACAGCTGCTTCAGGTGGACAGAGAAGTGATTAGACAACAATTCATCAGAATGTATATATCGTCTTTGTTTCTTACCTTGAAACTTTATCTCGAAAACGTCGTCATGGGCGATGGGGCTCTGAGGTTGGGAGCTGATGCTTGACTTACAGAAGTTTGGAGAACCTGGTTGGGGTGCCCGAGGGATATGCCTATTTTTTTTCTTTGGTAGTTTCTGCTTTGCCATCGCCAGTGAGTAATACATTCCAAAGTTGTTGACAATCACAGGGACGGGCATGGCGATGGTCAGCACACCTGCCAGTGCGCACAGGGCTCCAACCAGCATACCGGAGGTTGTCTGAGGGTACATGTCTCCATATCCGAGGGTTGTCATGGTCACCACGGCCCACCAGAATCCGATCGGGATGTTCTTGAAGTGCGTGTGATCGCTGGCTCGAGGGTCGTTGGGGTTAGCTCCAATCCGTTCAGCGTAGTAGATCATAGTAGCAAAGATGAGGACACCGAGAGCGAGGAAGATGATGAGGAGCAGGAACTCGTTGGTGCTGGCCCTCAACGTGTGGCCCAGCACCCTCAGTCCCACGAAGTGACGGGTCAGCTTGAAGATACGCAGGATCCGGACAAAGCGGACAACTCTCAGGAAACCCAGCACGTCCTTAGCTGCCTTGGATGAGAGCCCGCTGAGGCCCACCTCCAGGTAGAAGGGCAGGATGGCCACAAAGTCGATGATGTTTAGGGCGTTCCGAATGAAGTCAAATTTATTCGGGCAGAAAGTTATTCGCATTAAAAATTCAAAAGTGAACCACACCACACAGACGCCTTCAATGTAGGTGAGGTAGAGCGCAGTCTCAGTCTCCTGGTAGGTGTGCTCCACTGTGACGTTGTCCACTACCTCCAGCTCAGTGCGGTTGATGATGGGGTTGAAGGCCTCGTGGGTCTCCAGACAGAAGGTGGTGATGGACACCAGAATAAAGAACAGCGAGGCCAGAGCCACCCACTGAGCAGGGAATATGTACAGTATAGGGTGCAGAAAAAGAGATATATGGGAGATAGAGGAGGTGGGGAGGAGGAAGAAGGATGGAGAGGACAATGGGCACAGTAATTAATGCAATGTAATCAAGCTTGACGCCCCAGCAGCAATTCTTAGCACGACACAATGCAATTCAATCTATTATCTGAGACAGTGGCATCTGCTTTGACAGTTACAGTGGCATTGAAACACTCTCTCACTCCGCCCTTTCTCCCTCTCTCTCTCTCTCTCTGCTCTCTGTGTGTCTTGATTCAGAAGTGTCATTCTAAAAGGGACAATCAATGCAAGCTCGCTGTTCTCGCTTCTCTCCCCTCTGCTGTATCTCAAGGTCATGGCATTTTCAAGGGTATGCTACATGCAGAATTACAAAGGGCGAGGAGGAGCAGCCGCAGACAGGACATTAGTGTCAACCCCCACGACTAAATTTAGCCAGGGCTCTTCCCTTCAGCACCATCACTACAGTAGGTATTTCCCTACACAAGGTCACACTGTCCAGATGATCAACTCTTGGGAATCGTAGTGACCTGAGAGGCTTGCTGAGGCGTAGGACAGAAACCTATATTTTCCTTAGTGGCAGAAGAGTACTTTAGCCTTCATTATGTATTGATTGGATGATCACATTTCATCACATTTAGGCTCTGTTATTTCTGATGCATACTACATGGGTGGAACAGATACAGTATTCTCTCCTGGGTATTGATTGCAACCCTGTCCTCTGTACTGGTTTACAGTGTGTTACAGCTCTTGCACTACACCGTAGTTTGAACGGGAAACAGCTGTATCTTCAATGAGAATCTGAAGTCAATAGATCAGAGATGGTGGACAAAGAGGCAGACGGGAAGAGTGGCTAGCTACTTAATCATCCTATGAGTCACAAAAGTTGGATCAATAGCAGTGTGTTCATGCATGAAGATGTTTTTACGGGAGTGAGCGAGGCTCTGTAGTTCTTCTCAAACTAATGCACAGCCCTGCTAAGCAGCTGGGAGGCGTAGTGAATGGTATCAGGGATGTGGTTGGTTGGAGCGGGGCATGTCTGGGCACGAGGAAGTCTTACATATATTCCACTGAGCAAAGGAAATACAGCTTCTCAGTCAGGTCCATTCACACTGTGTCACCAAGGCAGGCAGGCATGCAGTGCGAGATGGAAAACAGGCCCTCATCATATCATCTCATCACTGGCAATTCATCGCATTGTACTGAGGAAATCACTGCTGCTTATGAATGTCTGCTTCCCATCCATGTTAGTATGATGGTCTGGAGGGAAACTGTGTATTAGCAGAGACGACAGTACAGCACACCGACTTCTGTTCTGTCAGCAGGGCTGTCAACTCACGCTGAACAAATAGGGAATCATCGCAGTTTACACACTTTCATATAGCATGTGAATGGTTCTCTTTAAATTCAGTCTAAAATGTAAAATAAACATTCAAATAGTGAGGACAAAAAGAGCACTTGACATTGTAATGCTCTTTTAAAAAAGACTAACAATGTTCAGCTTTTATTGGTGTAAGAGAGACTTTGTGTCTGAGGCTTTAGTAGTACAGCGCATGTGGTGTTGTATTGGATTGCATAATATTGTTTTGTCCACCCCCTCTACAGTATGTACTGTACAAAATAACACCCTAGAATATAATACAATCCAATTATATGTATACACACACACACACACACACACACACACACATATATATATACATATACAAATAAAAAGTTATAGAGTTATAGTTATATAAAGTAACAGATTGGAATAAGCAGCAATGTGTGGACAACTGCCCGGGGGGGGGCAGCCCTGTCAACACGATGCAGATATTATATATTTATTTGCAGCAAAACCAATTAATCAATCAGAAAATTAATCAGCAACAATTCTGATCATCTAATAAGTCTTTTTTTCTTTTAGCAAAAATATCCCCAAATGAACTGCCTCTCACTTCTAAAATGGGTATTATTGCTGATCTTTCAATGTAAACCAAATCTCTATGGGTTTTAGACTGTTAGTCAGACAGTTTGAATATGACAACTTGGGTTTTAGAAAGTCATAATGGGCGTTTTACACAATTTTCTGGCTAAATGTATTATTCAATTCAATTAATCAAGGGAATAATTGTGATGAAATAGATCTCTAGTTGCAGCCCTAATTGATGGGAGCTCTTGTTATTTTGTCCAGCTTATGTACATCAAGAGAGTTGAAAGATAACACCATCACCGCCAGAACACGTCAGGGTGATAAAGCCTCATTCTTATAAGCTACTTTCATGACACCTCCTGACACACTGGCTCGCTGAGCCTCTGAACATCCCACCCTTCAAACTGTTAAACAAACGCTGCATCTTATCAGACCGCCTCTTACACTAAATTATGTGTCTTTGTGACAGTTAGGAACAGTCTGGCCTGGAGGGAGGGTGACAGGCGAAGACTGTTTGCTCCTTATTGGCTATTTCTCACTGTTGCTGGCAAACCACAGACCTACAGTGATATGCAGTGACAAGGGTTTTTCCACTGATGTATCCACTGTGAATAGAGGCTGTAATTAACTCTGAGGCTCAGTTCTAATTAATCTTCTTGCCAGTCTTGGTGGAGCTCTGTCAATCTTCACTCTCTGTTTTGTCTTGCTCGCTGATAAATGTAGGACACATCCGAGGAGTTTTCTGCTTTGGGAAATTTCCTTCCATGCAGAAGTTGCAATCTGAAAGAAGTGTGTGTGTGTGTGTGTGTGTTTGGTTAAACAACTTTCACTAATGCTTGCTGTAAGAGTGAGAACATGTCAATACAGTTTACACTCCCTGGATGAGGCCTAATAACTAATTACGGAAGTCTGCTACAGCTGTTAAAGCAGCGTGCCGCACAGCGGCCTTTGTAGGGGGCAGTGGTCAGAAAATCCGAAGGTGTAAAGTCATTTCATTGTCACCATCGAGAGGCAATGCGCCCAGATGGAAAAGTGCCCACAACAAAGACCAAAAATGTCACTTCTAACTGCAACCTCGTTTTTTTTTCTGGAGGTCTGCCACTAAACTTCTAGTGGTGCCAAAGATCTGGTTTCCTAAAGTGTAGCTGACCTATTTAACCAAAGAGGCAGCCTGTCCAGGGATCCCCATGTCCTGGAAATATCAATCCAAAGACCTGTTAGAGTCACAATGAGTTTGTTTATCTTCTCCTGTGAGACAGAGGAGGAGGAGGAGGGTGGGAGTGATGATTTGCATGTAAATGATTTTGACAGATGAGGTCTTTGGTTGATTTTTTTCCCTCCCTCTTTTCTCTGTACAATCACATCCATGCTGTGGAGACCCCTGGGAGAGCAATTTCAAGGTCATCAAAAGCCTCTCTGCATCCATCAATCTTGGTCTCACCATCAAAGCACAAAGGGGAAGAAACATTCACAACTAAATTCCTATTCATGCAGCTTTGACTGTTTCAAATCAGCAGTGAGACATTTTAGAGTATTTTTCGAGCTCTGAATGTGGCTGTAAATCTTAAGTTCAGTATGAAGAACAAAGCAGTGGCTAAAAAACAACTCACCCTTGCATATTTAGAGGAGTAAGGGTCCTCAAACAGAGCCCAAACATATTTCTGCCACCGGCTCCACAGGCTTCCACTTCTGGCATCAGGACAGTCTCCCTGCGCCAGCCTCCTTGTCATCTCATCCACATCATCCTCAGCATGCTCCGGCTCTGGCTCCTGATCATCGGTCGCCAGGTCTAACAGGCCCCCCCCGCCGAAACTATCAAGGGCCTCCTCTGCCTCCCGGTGCTGACGATAGGTCATCCAGCAGCATGGCTCCACGTCTGTCTCATCAATGCCCCAGAAGGCCAGCTCCTCCTCATAGAGGGGCCCGCAGACATCAGCCGGGCAGTGCAGTTTACCTGTCCTGTAGTAATTAAGGATGTGTGCAAAAACGCCAGGGTGGCGGTCGAAGAAAAATTCCTCGATCTTGGCATCATAGTCAAAGTGGTTGGGTGCATCAGGCTCGGCCAACCAGGACAAGCGAGTGCCAGGTAGAGTGCGCAGGGTGCTGCGGTATGTCTGATGTCTGATCCCTCCCACGTTTATCACAATGCGATCCTTGTCGTCGCTCAGGCCCATTGCGTCCCCTAGGCATTTCTCCAATAAGTTCCCTTCATCGCAAAGTTAAGTCTAGGCGCACCGTGCGACCATGCACGGCAGTGATTAGACTGAAGGAAACAATTATATAAGGCAGGCAGAGCGCACAGCAACCTGTCGTTTCTCACCAACTATGAAAAGAAATGCTCCACACGCGTCAGGCTGCATCCTCTCTCTCTCTCTCTCTCTCTCTCTCTCTCTCTCTCTAGATACCCCTGTATTTTCTACACGCACCTGCCATGCAACTGGAGGATCATTAAACGCGTTATTAGCTGCCAGACTCACTGGAGGGTATATAGAATCGAAATCCCAAAAAAAACGATTGCAGCCAATGGCATCACTTCAAGAATGGACGTCACATCGTCGGTAAATCCAAGATGTCGAGATAAAAGGACCAACGCTGGCAATTTCGACCCAACCCCTCAAGTTGCGGTGATTGATCAGATCAGTCCCCGAGCACTGATTTATGACTTTCACAGCAAGGTGACTGCGGTGGTGCTGAGCGGACAGCGCCTGTCCGGGGCAGCTCCTGCTTAGAGACGCGGTTCTCTCTCCCTCCTCTGTTGCTGCCTGCAGACTCACCTCCTTCACACCGACGCTCAGCCCGCTCCTTCTCTCTCTCTCTCTCTCTCTCTCTCTCTCTCTCTCTCTCTTTCTCTCTCTCTCTCTGCGTTTAACGACTCACCGCCACCGTACAGCAGGTCTTTTGTCTCAGCAGAGATGCGCTCTCCTGCTCAGGGACTTCCCCTTTCATTCATGCATTGTTGAGAGGAGACAATCCACAGTCAATCTGAAGCTGTTTTTTGCTGCTGCGTGGTTAAAACCAATAAATTTAAAAAATAATGGAGGGCGACAAAACCTCCACACAGACACACACACACAAAAAAACGCACCAGATGGAGCATGCCCAGTGGAGGACCCTGCGTTTGTTATAACACGCTGTCAAGTTCTCCAATTAAGGCTGTCCAAATTGTCATCGCTGCCCAGTTTTTCTTCTCCTCTCTTCCCACTTAACGTCGTCGCTCAGGAGGGTTTGTGATCGGTCAGCGGGGACTCATTGTGACCCTGGAGCCATGAACACGCAGATCCGCCCATAACATCAAGAAGAGTGTGATCATATATCTTTTCACACTGCTCCGTGATTTACGGATGTTAGGGATTCAGACTGCAGCCGCACTTGTTGGCGATCTGTGTGTTTTTCTGACATTTAGATCATTTAAAGAGAAGAGGTGGGAGAATTATATGTTTTGTTTTATTTTTGTTTTTGCGCAACTCTTTGTGCTGCACTTGAGGTGTGTAGTAATAATTAGCCTCCACCTGTGTTTAATGTGCCGGCAGATGGCGCCATTGCTCGCTGCAAAGCAGGTTAATTAACGTGAGATCTGGAAAAACTCGTCAACAGGTTAAAAGAGTGGAAAATTAAAACCATAAATCTTAAAGAATAAGTTTATAGTTTTTGGTGCGGATCCAGAATGAAAGATTTCTTAACATTTAAGTGTCTTATTTTACACATTTATCCCCATGAAGTCACAAATGTTGTAGGCCTACATGCAGACATATACCATGATAGACTTTTATTATTAAAATAATGAGGATTGTGCTTCTTTTCTTTCTATTTCTCCCGAGGGCCCCCGAGGTTGCCCTACATTTCATTTAACCATAACACAGTTTCAAACTTGCAGGGGAACAAAGTAGGGCTCCCTGTTCACTCTTGCGGAAGGAGAGCTTGTTGTTCCCTCAGCCTCCTTCTTCTCCTGTCCGCTCCAGTTGGTGGGCAGTTCTTCGTCTCGGTTTTCACTCTTGATTATAAAGGAGGAGTTTGCAGCATAGAGGCGCTTACACCCCAACTAGACTGAATAAACTGAGTCCTCTGGCAGAGACTGATCTGGGACAGTGAGACTGGCCACACTGACTGTTTGATTTGGGCAAAAGGACGAGCTGATAAAAAAAAAAAAACAACCTTGCAACATGGCTGTGGCAGGCTGCACCAAATGCATTAAATATATGTTATTTTTCTTTAATTTTATATTCTGGGTGAGTTGAACTTATTTTACTCTTTAGATGCTTTTCTGAATTGTTTTCTCCTTTGATGTTTGAGTACTTCTTTCTTTAAAACTTTCTTATTTGTTTAAGTGGCCCAGTTTACACATCTGTGTGGGTTTAAAACTGATCAAATGATTAATCCTGGAGGAGACGCGCAGTTTCCCGCCCTGCTGTGTTAATTATGGTTATGCTGCGTCTTAGAGAAGATCAGCATCAGTAGAGGAGGCACAGTACAGTAGTTGAAATGCTCTTACCCCTCATCAACAGTTATTTTCTGCATGGGAGCACCAGAGCAAGGTGGCTGAAAGAAAAGGAGAGAGGAGCACTTCAGACTGGGTGGGCTTCAGTCTCCTCAGTCTTCCCACTGGGATAAAACAGTTTTTTCCCTCCTCCAGCATTTCTCACATTATCTCTGCTCTAGTTTTTAATCAAATTAACTAATGTTCATATTAAAAAAAACACTCTAGAAAGGAAGGTCTGATTTCTGAAGCTGTTTTGAATGGGGAAACTTAATTGGAAGCTTTCTGATATCTCACTCTGAACAGGATTAATGGAGTTTCTGGGGGAGGGGAGAGCTGTTTCCCCTGTGACATTTCCTTTGTTTTAACCTTTAAAGAGTTCAGGAAACACCTCAGCAGATGTTGTCGCAGTTTTTATTTTACATCCACCCTTCAAACTGAACTCTCCTCAAGTCCGTCTTGTTTTCTGAATTCCAGTAATAATGGACTTAACACCGTAGTTCGGTAGCTTAATGCAGCTGTCTGCCTCTACACTATATTACATCACATCACATCACACTTCCTGCTGATGTGCCCATCCACTTTATCTGCCCACTTGTGGCCTTACACTGTCAGAATTAGTGACTAGTTTGTGAATTTCCATTTAGTTTGTCTGTACACAGCAGTCGTCTTTTTTTAGCACAAAATCATCATATCCTGGACACGCCGCAGTTGATGGAGTGTTTCCTCTGTTGGTTTTGCTGCTGTGCCTGTCATTGTGAGCCCTCTCTTCCTCCATTTTTCTATTTTTCATGTTGAGGATTCTGTTTCCTGTTTCTTGGAGAACAATGGAGAGCAGCCAATGTGCAGATATCTTGATATAAACATTGGCATGAAGAAAAGGAGCGTGAACATGTGAACAACACTGGTCTGATCCTTTTACTAGTTATTCTCCTTTACTAGTTATAACTTTAATATGATCAGGATATTTATGATTGATCAGAGGCAGAATAGAGGAGAGACCAAGGTGGATAAAGTTGAACAACAGAGTTCTTGAGTTCTTGAAACAATGTTGTGAGGACGTGGTCTGTGCCGTAGGTCACTAAGGTGTCAGGATATCCTCTCATTACTTCTCTTAAAGGACAGCGGAGCAGGACACGCACGCAGAAACACTCACAGAAAGGTGGACACTGATTTGATCTTAGGAGAGTTAAGCTTTGTGCCGTCCCCTGATCTCATGGCTCTGTGTCGCCATCACATATATAAAAAAATCTTAAAAATTGATAACCTGCAGGTTTATTTTAATATTCATGCTAACATCTCTATTGAATATCAGACATTTTAAATGACTCTGATCCTCCCTGAGGTTTCACCAAAGTAATGAAAAAAGATGAAAGAAAATAATTAAAACCTTTTTTCTCTTCTTTTCTCTCAGCTGGCCGGAGGTGTGATCTTAGGAGTGGCCCTGTGGCTCCGCCATGACAGTCAAACCAGCAACCTCCTCATACTTCAGTTTGAAGGCCAGCAGGCACCAGGGACCTTCTATATCAGTGAGTATAAACGGTCACCTAAAGAGCTTCATAATCACTCATCAGGGTTTAAATAGCATAAGTAGATTCTCCGCAGTCTAGAGACATTACTTAATTTTGTTTTAATGTTTAGAAAACTAGTTTGACTTTTTTCTATCATAAAATTACTGGATTTAGTTTTAGGTTGGGAAAGCTTTTAATAATGCATGCTTCAATGCTAAATGTCCACTGAGTGTAGTGGCCTCAATTTGGATATAAATATAGTACATACATCTTACATTATAATACAAACAACTACAACAATACAACCAACTATAGGCTCAAAATCAACCAATAAATGTCAACTCCTCTCTGTCAGAGTCTCAACAGAGATAAATTATAGTCTTAAAAAATAAAATTCTATTGCTGGTCTACTATATAAATTTGCTCTTACATCCTCCTCCAGACACTGTCCTCGGTGTTCCTGTCCTCATTCCTTGTTGTCCACGTGACGGGAAACTCACTGTTAACAGAGTGATGAAAGTGAACTAATTCACAGTAATACCTGTCTTTCACACTCAGCAGTGACCATGTGAGTAATGTCCAGGAATAGTAGGAGTGGTGTGACCTCTAAGAAAAGACCAGGAAACAGGACCTGCGTAAATCCACAGCGTGACTTAAGAGTGGCACAGCCGGCGTCTACACCTCACTGTTTTTACTCCGCTGTCATTCTGACACCGACCACCACATCACTGCAGGTGATGTTTCATAACTCAGAAAAATATACATGTTAATTGAAAAGTCCCAGCCTCGAGGTTCGTTTCAAGAGAGAGTCCAGATGCTGCAGACAGATGTTGAGACACATGTGAGCTCTGAGACGGTCCGTGAGCATGGTGCTCAAATAAAGCCATCATGGGCCTTCTGTCGCTCGCACTATAAAGTATTTGATCCTCTGGGATTTCCAGGAGTTTTATATTAATGCAGTGCAGCGTGCTCGCTGTATATCTTTGTAAATGTATTGGAGGTTTTGACCAAATCACAGAATCAGGCCTCAGGTTGTGCTCAGCCGCATGAACTGAAGTCATAAATCCTCATCATGTCTCCTTCACTGCCCTCAGCAGTCCACAGATTGGCCCTAAAACCTACAATACATGATATGATTTAAACATATCCGTCGACTCGGTTTGTTGTGGTGGTGAACTCTAGTGAGCCCACTAATTTACATTTGGGATCCTGCTGCTCTCCCATACTTACCCCTAAGTAAGTATACACAGCGAATACAAACCCATGCTTTTTATAGAAGGAAGGCACACTCATGATTTTAAAGGCAGGGCGGCTATAGAGGCCCACCCAAGCGAGATCAAGGGAATGTTTCTTTTTTTTTTTTTCCTCCTCCCTTGAACATACGCCCTTGCATAATTCAAATAACCTTGTACATCTGCACATTACCCCTCAAATTAGAGTTTGGAGTGGATGTTTTTAGCATGCTGGCAGACCAAAGTGGTATTTAAGTAAGGCTGGAAATACACATTGTCCTACCTCCTAACCAATGCCTGAAATCATTATTGGTGGCAGCTGTCAGTAGTCTGGTGTGGTTGGTGCTACAGCCTCTCATACTGTAGGAGATACAGTAAATGTGACAGATTTTGTTGCACAAGATGTTTCAGTTGCTCTACACCATATGTATAATGCAGAGCCTCGGCCTGAAACAAGAAAAGTTGGATTGTGGGTAAGCAGGCTATGAAGGATGCCAAAATGAAAGTGAATGAACGAAAATTGCAAGAAGCATCAGCATTCATTTGAAGTCTCGCAGCTACAGGAACAGGAAATCACTAACATTTCCCAAAGGAAAATGGCAATAAATTAAGATCTTTTGGCTTTTAAAGTCTTTTAAAGTCTTTTAAAGTCTGGTTTTCTCTCCGACTGTGTGAATAAGTGAGTGCTGCTTTCGACTCTCACTCTTGAACTAATGTTTCAGCTGCTCTCAGTGCTTACCAGAGACATGAGAAATGAGAAAATAAATACCCCTCTCACGTCTGTGTGTTATATACAGCCAGGAGATGGTTAGCTTAGCTTAGTTTAGCATAAAGACAGCTAGCCTGTCTATGTCCAAAAGTAACTAAATCTGCCTACCAGCCGCACTAAAGCTGACTCATTAACACATTCAATGTCATTTGCTTAATCAATACAAAAAAGTGTAAAAATGACGTTATGAAGCAGGTTCTCTGTTTCCGGTCTTTATTCTAAGCTAAACTAAACCGGCTGCTGGCTCCATCTTCATATCTAATGGACAGACGTGAGAGCGGTATAAGCATGGCAGCAGGCGGTTAGCTTAGCTTAGCATAAAGATGGAGGGAAACAGCTAACCTTGTAAGTTAGGCTGAAAGAATTGCAACTAAATCTTCCAGCCTAGACTTTGACTTTTGTACAGATTAAAAAAATAAGATACACCATGTTAATTTATAAGCTTTGAAGATGCTGGTGTGCAGATTTTAGTTTGCTTTGTTAGAAAGAGCCAGATAAGCTGTTTCACTAAGCTACTGGCTCCAGCTTCATATTCAGTTTACAGACATGGGAGTGGATATTCTCATCTAACTTTAGACCAGAAAGAGACCATAAACACATGTTGGTCTATTCCTTTAAAATGGACTCAAACTGTTTACAGTGCACAGACAGTAACTTTTTTCCAATGTTCACTGCAGGAGGTCAGTGGTTAAAGATATAATGTATGTCTGAGCTGCCCCTGTTGTCATGTCTTTCTGTTAACAAGACGGCTGGAGGAAATGTTTATATGGAGCCTTTTTAATAATTAATCCTCATCTCATCATTCATCATTTGACATACAGTATCTCAGGTTCATCTCGGTTTATCGGTGTTGTGCTCCGACAGCGTGAACAAGGCTTCACAGCTCACTGGATGAGAAAGGAAAAAGAGAAGTCCAAGTGGGGCTTTTTTAGCTGGTCTTCACCTCCCTTTTTTCCCCCTCTGGAGATTACACTGGGAGACAAGAAATAAATGAACTTCCCCGGTGGTATAAAATTGCCTGTCTCCCTTAAAGTCTCAATGGCCTTCAAACCTCAAAGGGTGTTGTCATAGTAATGGAAGGCAGTGGAAATAATGCCTGCTTTGCCGCATTGCAAACATCAAGTCCTGAAAGAGAAGGGGGTGAGCGGGGGGGGATTGAAGGAGGAGGGTGTAGAGTTGAGGCAGAGAGAAAAAGAGAGACTGTAGATGTAAGGACGGGGAAGGGTTGTGCGTGATGTGTGAGGTGCAGTGTGAGGTGTTTGAGGCCTGTAGACACAACAGAGTCAGAGTCTTTTACTTGGTCTGTCGGTCCCCTTTTAGACCGCTCTGTCAGGCTACATTAGAGGCTGCGTGTGTTTTTTTCGCATGTGTGCAAGAATAGAAAAACCCAGAAACAGGTTGCTTCCAGACCGTCTTGCTAAAAGCAGTCGAAGCAAAAAGCAGTTTAGTAAAATGCGTCAGGTAGTTTATTTCACCGGTTCCCAGCTAAAGGGGTCAGGCCGCCTCTAAAGAGTCACAAGATAAATCTTAAGCGTCAAGGTAGGAAAGAAAATGCTGAGACACAAATGTGTATTCATAGTTTGGACTTTCCTCTAATCTTTGTTTTTTTTCTTGTGAAATATTTGATAATTTGACCTCCTCCAGTTGAGAGGTGAAGAGGGGGAATGTCAGAAACGTGACAACTAGCTTTTTTCTAAGGACTCACAAGCCAAAACAGTTGTAAATGTAATCTGAATGTGTTTTGTAATTGTTTTTTATTTTGTTTTAGTATGTTAAAATATAATCTGAAGAGTAACTAGTATATATATTATATAAATATAATGAATGTTAATACTTAAATACTTTTATGTGTTTTTTTGTATATGTTTTTATAACGGTACGGGAGTAGTAGCGTCCCCACAAAACATACGTAAGAAGAAGTGTGAGAAATACACCACATTTTTTCTGATAAAACCTCTGCAACATTACTTTAAAAACAGTACATTTTGAATACTTTTACTTGAGTGTGGTATTGTTGCACAATTACTTAAGTAAGGGATCTGAATTCTTTGTTTGTGTTAAGGGACCGTTTTCCCTCAGCTTTAACAGCTTTTAATTGTTAAGACTAGAAATGCATTTAAAGGAGCCTGCAGCAGATTGACAGCTGATGATGATACCTTTTATAATACATTGTATTAATGAATGCTTTTCTGTCATGCTTCCTTGGATTTTAAATTAAACTCATGTCATGCTTTTGTACTCTAAATTAAACTCACCATACAGATAGTACAATAGATATATTTTTAACCTTCGCTCTGTGTACAGACCATTTTCCTTTAAGCTGCATGAAACATAAGCCAGACCTCTGCTGTAACTTGAGCTTTATTGCCATTCATTGACTTTTTCCTGCAACAGCACTACCTGCACTAGAGCCTTTTGGACACTTTTGTTTGCCATTAAAAGTCATGGTAACTGTATTTTTTGTCATCACCATTGATAATGGCCACAAATTGATTTTTGATTAAATTTTTAAACACATTGCTCGAATGTTTTAGCCTCCTCTTCATATCAGTGTAATCGCACTAACATGTGTATGTGTATGTATGTGAGTGTTTTTGTATTCATATAGTTCCCTTTGTTTCCTGGGGAAGGATAATGCTCAAGATCAGGGGTCAGAGCAGAGGGGGTTTGTGGGGGTGTCTTGAAAGCATTTCCTGGCCTGATGGCTGAACTGAGAGTCAGCACTTGCCTCTCTGCCTCTGTCTCTCTCAGGATCTGGGGGGTTGTTTGTCTCCAGGATGTCAATTATGTCATGTCATCCAATGTGTGGATCAGTGAATGGGCAGCAGGCACACACTGCTCTGACACTGCTGTCCCCTAGTGGTGCTGAGGGCACACTGCCGCCGTGATGGAATACATTTCTTTAAACTCTCGTGTGTAATTGTCACTGTTGTCTCTGTGTTTACAGGTGTGTACATACTGATAGCTGTTGGGGCTGTGATGATGCTTGTGGGCTTCCTCGGATGTTACGGTGCCATTCAGGAATCTCAGTGCCTGTTGGGGACAGTGAGTATCTCTTTTTTACTATCTGTATTCTGTTTAAATTAATTCATTTGTTTTAATCAATAAAAGACTTAAGATCATTTTCTTCTTACTTCTTTCTTTAGTTCTTCTTCTTTTTGGTGATCCTCTTCGCTTGTGAAGTGGCTGCAGCAATCTGGGGTTTCATGAACAGGGACACAGTAAGAAACACACACACACACAACCTTGTATTTCACTGCAGCGCTGAATGTTTGATGTTTACACTGATTTTCCACCTCCGCTCCGGTGAACCTGCTCTGTTTGTTTGTTGTGTCTCTAAAACAACTTGCCCGACTCCCGACTGTCCACAGATCTCCAAAGAACTGATCAACTTCTACGACTCTGCGTACATCAAGGCTGTGGATGTCTCAGGTTCTCCCAGTAAAGACTCTGCCATCAAGGTCCTGGATGTTTTCCACACTACGGTACGTCATGATGGAAAATCTCTGGTCTGGCATATGTTATATTTTCAGTTTGAGCCACTTGGTTGACAACTTAGTTTGCCTGTTGTTTTGACACGTTTCTACTACCATCTCAAATAGAAGAGTTACTCGCAAAGAAGAAGAGTCAGAAGAATAGTTGACTTTTTACTTGTATCTCCAAGCTGAAATGATGAATAATCCTCCTTTTTACACAGAACAAAATGTGTTTTCTAAAGTAAAATCCTTCCGTAGAACAAAAAATATAATCCAATAACCGTATGCCTCAGAAAGGTACCAAAGTGTTCCAACATCAATGGTCAAAAGAGCTGTATTGAGCAAAATTATTACTGAAATAAAAATAAAAACTGATTTAAAGTATGTGTACTAATGTGTACTTACAAAATGAGCTAAAATAAAAGAAACATATAAAGGAAATGTCTAAGTTTTAGTCTTTATTTGATCAAAATTTTCAACACAACAAGCATAAGGAGGCATTGGTTCATATGTTTATTGAGACTGGGATGTCTGTCAATGTGTTTGTATATTTTAATTTCTATTCTGAACTTTTTAAATTCTGCCCCTAACAAATACCCTCATATTATAATAAATAAAAATAAAAACAACACTGAAACTAATACAAATTAATTAAAACTAAACATTTAAAACAATAAAAAGGTTAAATCCACTCTGGGAATAACTGGAAAACTATAATAATTCTGGTCATGAGCAAAACTAAATAAGGCGACATCCTTCCTTTACTAACTGCTGACTCATCAGCTTTTTCTCTCATCCATGACACTAGGAGGTGCACTTTACCACTGAAGGGCTATTAACACACACACAACACTAAACAACACTTATCATGTCTTAACAAAGCATGTTACGATGAATTTGGCCCTTACAATCTATGATGTGCTTCTAGCCCAAACCAGCTGTTGTATGTGTAAATGATAGAAATCTATGTTTATCATGTATTTTGTTGAGTGTTTCTGCTCTTGGTCTCCCCTTCAGCTCGACTGCTGTGGTAAAGGAGATGACACCGCTCTCTTCAAACAAGTCGTCGGTACCTTGTGTCCCAGAAAATCTCCAGAAGATTTTCTGAAATCTCAGGTATGCACAGGTTCTTATTATAATTCATACTGAACACAATACCTGTACAATACCAGATATAGAATATATTAGCATCTTTGGAAAGAGGAACTAATAAAAGTTGTAGCTTGAACTTATCATCAGTCTTTGGAGTGATTAAATACTAATAATTAAATGCTAAACGAATAGACGAAATACTGGGTTAACTTTAATCATTATCAACAGGTTGTTTTGATACAGTGTTGGTGTTATTTTATTTTATATACAGTAACTGTTGTGTTATTAACTCAAACTAAAATATGATTATTTTCATCCAGTTTGAGGTTCTAGGTTCAGCTTTATTGTCATTATACAGTAAAGGATACATTGAAATGCAGCTGTACTCTCCTCCACACTACAAACATAGAAAGTGTATAAACTATTATATATTAAAATATTTAAATTGTAATAGAGTAAAAACAATGCATTATAATGTGTTTAAGTAGCTCTAAAGGAAGAAATAAAAAAGAAAACTAAATTATATTTATTTAAAAAAAAAAAAAAACCAATCAGTTAGTTATTGTCAGTTTCCCAAAATGAGCAACACATCACTTAGTGACATATGAGTTTCAATAGAAATAAAGTAGATAAAAAATATGTCATAAGCATATTTACTTTGAGCAAATAGTCCAACAATAATATAAAAATAACACTAATACTGGGTCAAAACAACACATTGTCTTGGGTGGATTTCTACCTCTGGGTCCAGTCCCAGTATTGTCTTGGTGCTGTATTAAATCACTACCAGCGATAAAGACTTCTATCCTTTTTCGACTCATTGTTAGTATTTATTTCACTAATAGATAACATATTACATGATTAATTATTCAGGGTTGTGCGGTCAGAGGCGGCTGATACTCAGCACCTTGTTTTGACAGCAGACCCGGCTTTCCATTACATGTAATCCATAACAGAGAGTGGACAGTCTGAGGGGTAAAGGATTCATCACGGTGGCATGTTCACGGTCTTTATTGTCTCCTCTGTCTCCTCCCAGAGCTGTCACGATAAGCTGATCGAGCTGTTCTCGGAGAAGCTCTACCTGATTGGTCTGGCCGCCTTAGCGGTTGCCGTCATCATGGTGAGTGTCAGATTGAAGACATACACACACACACACATCTGTGGTGTGAAGAGGCTTAAAACGTGGCCCGGTATATGGCCAGGGATACTGCTTTTATCAGCTGTGATAAGGATGCAGTTGCTTGAATATTATTAAATCAAATCGTTCTGCCCTTTTTCCCCCGTTCAGATCTTCGAGATGATCTTCACCATGGTGCTCTGTTGTGGGATCCGTAACAGCCCTGGGGTGTATTAGCAACACATCAATCCACTTCAGCCTATAATGGAATTATTTTCTTATGTGTTTCTGTGCATCAGCTCCTCTTCCTTGTGATTATAGCATAACAAGATGGATATCTCTCCATTTACTTTAGATTAGAAAATACAACTTGTTTTTGATTTTGCTAATCTGTCAAACACTTGTCTTTCTCACACAAGAATTTAACCTCTATCGGTCAGATGTTCTTTATTTATCAAACAACACTTACATACAGATATTTTATACATACAGCGTGTTGTGAAATATTTCTCTGAAGTCATTGAACTTAATGCTGTTTTTAATGGATGTATAAATTGTATATATACTTTTCACATGTTTTATAACACTTGGGAGAGTCCATGTATTCCCTGTTGATTGTTTATGATGCAGTGCTGCAGTGTTATAATATAATTTAAGCAGCAGGGTTTCAGTGGTCTAAGCTAATGTACCGTCTCACTCTAACGATTATCAAGATGACGAGTTAGCCTGTGTGTTTTTTTAGTCGACTGTGTGTCTCTTCTTTGTGCCTAATGGAACATTTTCATGCCGTCTTCCTTAACTCGTGAAACACTTAAACAATGACATAAACAGTATTCTCAATCAACTTGTTCTAATAATGCTAATAAATTATGTCACCTTCCTTCTTTTTTTTTTGGTGGAGCATACACTAACATACACTTGTTTTATTAGCGAGGGGGTGGTCACTTCTCAGAGTGTTTTTGAAGAGGTAAAAAATATTGTTAGTTTTAGTCTTTAGGCTTCCCAGCCTCCAGGTATGGGGCCCCAGGGGGCAGGGCAGAGTTCAATAAAGGATAAATAGAAGTCCATCAAGATCAGTCACTAGTATCACAGAAAACATACACACGGTTACAACCACAACAACAACAGCTAAATTAGATAGCAGCAGAAATAAATGACCATATAAATACACAAAAGGAGTAAAATAAAGTGCAGAGTGACAATGCATGTTAATCACATGATCAGCATCTCTGTCATCATTACACAATCACAGTTATCAAAGGCAGAGACATCGTCAACTTCTCATTATCATCATCAAAACTACTCTACACTACACCAGGGGTTCCCAAACTTTTAGAGATTCAACCCTACTGGCAAATGTGGCAAATATAAAAGACATAAAAAACTACTTCTGAATATATTTTCTAACTTTATTCATGCAATAATTATTACATTTGTATTGTAAATCTTTAATCCTTACATTAGATTCACTTATATCCTATATAAACAATGTTTAGAGAGATCAACATGAAACATTTTGATATGTTATAATTTGTTAGTATGTTATATTATCATTATAAATTATATTTTACAGTAATGCACATAATAATAGGGGGTTAGTAATTTTATTTTATTTATTTTTAGCATTTTCATTTATCTTCCCTCAGACTTTCAGAGCCTCCTCTGGTGGCCCCCACTGTGAAAAACACTGCACACTCCCCAGTACCCTCGTACTCACTGACTGCATTCAGAGACGAGGGCGAAGGAGCGGTTGTACCTGTAAGTCTTGACAGGAGGAATCTGAGCCAGAGAGAGGAATCTGAAATTCATCAAACAGGGGATGGGCACTGGCACTGTGGGATATGATGGCTTTAGCCTTCTTCACTACCTGTCTGTCAAACAGGTCAGCAGGCAACACATAGCAACACTTTCACTAACCTGTTTGAAAACGAAACTAGTTTACAAATAACTTTTGGCTTATCTGATTGTAATAACAAAATAGATGGGTGGTTTAGATAATATATTAAGGTAAAACACCTTTCTCTATAATTAATTAAACTTACATTGAAACTAAATATGATACTCGTCTACCCAACAAATGTCATTACAAAAGATCCTCTGGTTTCTATCAAGCCCTTTATATCCTCCTATGACCTCAGGAAATGTAGCCTGCCTGTACTTTGGGTTTTAATACAACAGATACTTTCCAGTGTGAGCTCTTGTTTAAACTCTACATAAACATCACATTAAGTCATATTTAACAGTAAGCCACTCAATCTGAAAACAACCTCTTTTCTTTAGTTCACTTATTTTTTCAAACCTGCTCACAGGCCCACGGTGTTTGCTGTGAGTCACCAGAAGGGGGCAGTGTGCTATCCACACCATGTTTGGCACAACCTTTCCCACTGTAGCACAGTTGAATACATTAGAAACTCAACTGACTTGTATTTCTGGCACTGTGGCAGCAGACACACCCAGCACACACAGTGTTTGTTCTGCCAACAGGTTTATTTTCTCATCCAAGGACATGGCACTTACGTTGTCACTTGTGACAAAGTTTAAAAAATTTAAGCTCAAACATGTTTAATTATATTTTCATGAGACTTGATTGGTGAAAAGATAATTTGAAGACAACATAATGGTAGTCAACAGCAGCCTGACTCCAAAATCACCATAAACCTGAATCAACCTTTTCTAAAACATTATCACCGCTCTCACAGCGTTATGTTTGGCCACAACAGGCAAAAAAGCTCTAAAAGCCCACTGTACAGTTCCTGCTGAGCAGCAGACAGCAGACAGACACTGTTAGCGACTAACTGATGTGTATTTAACAGCTGAAGAGCCAGATATTTCCCTTAGGAGTTGGCAGAGACTGAAAGAGAGTGAATATTCTGGATTTCACTGGGTCACTGAACAGAAAGGTCAATGTTGTGTCTATTACAAGTAAAGCTACTTATTGTTCTGACCTGGATGAAAAGTGACAAGCCTAATAATATATAATATAATGGAAAATATCAATGCAATCTTGTTGGTAATTAACAGTTCAAAGTTGGGATGTCTTCATCCAATTATGTAGTTTTTTGTCTTTTGAATTAGCCACCCCTCAATAGCCGCCCATGAGTACAGGCCCAATAATTAGAACATGAACACACGAGAACCTGTACACCCATAACCACGCACACATAACTCCTCAAAAGGACTGGGTGGCCCAAAGTGTACCTCTATTGTGAACTTTCACTAGCAGGCAGCTGATAAATAACTCACTGATTAATGATTGCCAACAAAGATAGAATCTATCAATAGAAATTTAGACTTTTAGATTTCCACAACAGGAGAATTATTCTGCATGCAATGAGGGAGGTGTATAATAATAATAATAATAATAATAATAATAATAAGAAGAAGAAGAAGAAGAAGAAGAAGAAGAAGAAGAACAGGAAGAAGACTTACTATATTGTTTTATTTGTATTTTTTTGTAATGTTTGTAGTTTTTGGCATGCAGTTTGTGTAGTTTCAGAGATTACAGACATGAGACAGACAGACAGTTGGTTCCTGACGCATACAGCAGGCTGAACAAAGTTGTCACTCTCACTCTCTTATGAAATCACTCTCTCTGACGCCACACACACACACACACACACACACACACACACACACACACACACATACACATATTGCCCTGAGTCAATAACCTTTAGGCTGACTTCTGTCACTCTGTACCTCTGAAATGGGCTGGGAATTCTGTTAAACAGCTGCTTTAATGCTCTATTGTGCTGACTGAGTCATAGACCAAATGTTGCAACATCCTTAAAAAAGAAAAGTCAGCATTGATGTCAAATACAAACCCCAAATAAGATGTATCGTGCAAATTTCTAACATGAAAGCCTCAGTAACTTCCCATGAAGACTTCCCTCTTGACTAGAAAAGTAACATCACGACTAAACAGCCTGATGTAGTTTTTCTTTTCTCTCTTGTTCTGTACGGATAAATCACAGTCAGACTCTCTGCCACCCTCTCCTGTACACACCCTGTGGTGTCATACGGTCCTTTGACTCATCTCTTTGTTTTGTGTGTACCCTGCATTTAGACTTATAATTTTCAGGGCGGCGTCTGTTACTATAACTTAACACTTTCTAATATCCCACCAGATCAGATCACCCGCACAAACAAGCAGGTTCACGACATCAGAGAGGAGAACATCCACAGTCAACTCAGACTCAATGGTAATGGTGAGTCAAAATTTATTTCATTATATTTATTTAATTTATTTAATATATTTATACCAAATTCCTTCAATGTATTGCTTTGTTGCTCTCAGACTCATTAAGGGACATTGAGCACATGCATGGGAGCCTGTGATTGATTGTTTCTACTTACAAATATGTGGTGACAATGAAGGCGAAGTCAGGGTGAACACATTCGGAGGGAATGTGAAGAAACAACTGAAAGGTGAATTCTCAGGTAATGAGGAGCCCAGGAAGCAGGAGGCAAACGGTCATGCTTCAGTGTAAACCTAAATGAACCTAAATGGGGAAATGAAATCCTCCGCGGTCCTCGAGGGAAATGATTGGCTGATTGAATAACCTTTAGACAGGCTGTGGCTCATGTCTTCTTTTTCTGCTGAAAAATGCATCTGGAGAAAAGAAGGCGGTCAGGAATCCATGCAGGGAAATAAAGAAGTTAGAGCAGAGATGATTATTTACACTTTGATTCAGTTGTATAGAGATGTTTATTCTGCTCCTGTATTGTGTTTCTCAACTTGTATCCAGGTATCCAGGCAGGTAGAAACCATGTACATGCAATATGTTGTACTCCCATGCTGCACAATGCTCTCCGCATTGGCTTCAGTGACTCATTGCTGCTAAGCCCAAATAAAACAAAGCAGATAAAACTTAGGTGTGGCTCCAACTTAATAATAGAGCGTGAAGGTGACACACCTTGTAACAGTCCTCCATTCATACTTGTTGTCATATGCAAGATTGAACTTAATATCATGCCAATTTGTGAAAAGATCAAAAGCTCTCAAACCACTTGGAGCACAAAGGCCTTACTGTTTACTGTGGCACACTAAAGCTGATGGGACATACATGTGTTTACGTAATTATTACATTTAAAAAGAAAAAACAGAACAAATTAACTTCTGTATATTCATCTCCAACACAAGATAACTCAGATATTAACTTTATGAATCTTATAGTGTTCAGTGTGTCACAGAGGTACTGATTCAAAATCAGTTACCATCAATTTAGTTGATGCATAGGACAGTATACACACACACATATATATATATATATATATATATATATATATATATAAGTGTAAAGTGCTTTCATTTTGTCTACCCTCTGCGAATCCTCTTTGGGGAAAGGAGGACAAAATAACACCTCACATTGTTTTATTAGCGGAGTGGATTTTTTAGACTCATCACATCACTTCTGTGACTCAAAACTCACCTTTAGAAACACGGATGGCGGCTGCGAGTTAGCTTCAGCTGGACGCCTTGGATACATTATATCTGTTGTATTATTCGTCTTTATGTAACAATGTTTATCTGTAAGGTCTCTCTTGAACAAAACAAATACATAAAACTGTTTTTGCAAAACTAACCAACCAGTGGTGGAAGAAGCGGTGTAATACAATACAATCTACTTTTACTGAAAATCTTATTATTTCATAAGTATTAGCATAAAAATATACTAAAGTACCAAAAGTAAAATAACTCATTAATGCTGAATGGCCCATTCGAGAATCACATATTACTAAATTATTATTAGTGATGCATTGAGTACATTTACTTAGAAAGTAGCATAAAATGGAAATACTCAAGTAAAGTACAAGTACCTCAAAATTGTACTTAAGAACAGTCCTTTAGTAAATGTACTTAGTTACATTACACAATTG